TCCTCAGAGCTCCCCATGCACTACGACCACTACTTCGATACCTGTAGTAACCAGTACTGTGACAGTGGTTACTCAGCGTCCACAGACCAAAACCGTGACAGTTATTTCTCAGCGTCCACAGACAAGCACTGTGACAGTTGTTGCTCAGCGTCCACAGATCACCACTGTCGTCGTGACAGCTCCTCGGGTTCAAACCACCACTGTCGTCATGACAGCTCCTCGGGTTCAGACTACCACTGTCGTCGTGGCAGCCCCTCAGATTCAGATTAATACCGTCACTGTGGAGAAGCCGGCTTCCACTGTAATCTACCAGCAACCAGGCACCACATCCATCGTTACTGTACAGAACCCAGCTTCTACTGTCGTCTACCAGCAACCAGGCACAACTTCCACTGTCACCTATCACTACCAGGATCCAGCGTCCACCATCATGCTCCAGCCACCAACTGTTACTGCTTCGCGCTCACCACACGTGCTCGAGATTCCCGTCACTGTGATCACGACCGCGACCCACACCGTAGCCAGGTCAGTTCGTGCCAACCAAACCCCTGCGCCTATGTCTCCCCGCGATAGCATTATCGCCAAGCCAATGTGCGACTCTTGCGACGGTAACCCGGAGTGCGATGTAAGTTGAAGCACCAGTCCGTCGTGTGCTCAAAGAACTTCTGATTGACTTCCGCTACAAACAGGGGTGCGATTTCGCTTGCGACGAAGACCAAGGCTGTGAGCACTTCCTGTGCAAAGACCCTCTCAGCGAAGCGGAGATCTGCATAAGCCTCCTAGAGGACGCCGAGGCGTCCAAAGCATACGACACGTCCATGGCTTCCGGCGATTTCCTTGGCTCCGCCGCGATGCTTCTGGTGCTCGCTGGCGATGACGCCCCTACTTCCAACACAACGACCACCCATTTGCAGCCGGCGATCTCCAACGGAACCCGGCCAGACTTTTCCTTTGCCGATGAGGATTGCTATCTGTGCGAGTCCGGTGATGAGTCTTGCAACGTAAGTCACTGCCTTGCCCACCCACCCCCTGCAATGTTGCATCATCTTCATTGGTATAGTTCGTCGACTAACTCCTCCCAGATGTGCGACTGGCAGTTCACCTGCGGCATCAAGAAGAAGTGCTTCCACAACGGCGCGCGCGAGGTTGTCGAGTTGTGCTTCGAGAAAGGCGAGAAGTGCCGTCCTTAACCGATTCCGCCGGGCATTACTCTTCGTGCCGACTGAAGCGAGCCATCCTGCGATGCCACGAACCCATGAGGTAGCTGGATTGTCGCTTTTGGCTCTGCTGTCTTTTTGCACGCTTCGTTGGTCGCGTCGCTCCGTTTCACGCTAGTGTGAGCTTGCGCTGGCTTCTGCCATGTTCTTTCTCCTGTTGTTTCTCTTCCCCTTTGTTGCTCCGCGTTAGTAGTTTGTAGCTTCTTCTGAATACATTACATCCCCTTAATTTCTGAGATACTTGCTTCCTTGTTGATGTATGCTCACCGATCGCATGTTCTCACTACTTGCTTCGCAACTTGCCGATGGAGTCCGCGATGGTCAGTCGTTCTCAAAGAGGCCGCTCGCTCGACCCATGATTGCTTCAATGACATTCTCTTGCATTGGAAGCGTGCATGCAATTGACCGATACACTTACAATCGGCACCGGGTGACATAAGACCTGGCAGAATGCCTGTCGTGAAAGTCCCCAGGACGCATATAAATCGGACATACAATACAGGTGTACATTCTTTGTTCTCACTTTTTGTAACGCATACCCTTTTCCTAAGTCGAAACTTCATCTAGTTAAGGGGATTGCAGAGCCATCTCACTCAACCCCAGACCAAGTCAATTCTCTCGCCCTTGACTTTCGAGTTGAACCACTCGTAGATCTCGACATCATTCTGTACTAGACTTGCACCATCAAGAACCCCACTTCTACCTAGTCTCTCCGTCGCGAACTGTAACTCCATGGTTGCCAAGTTTCTGGCGATGCACGCTCTGCTCCCTGCCCCAAATGCGAACCAGTACTTCGACATAGCTTCTGTTGGTTTCAGCCATCTTTCAGGCCGGAAGCTTCTTGGTGAGGGAAAGATGCCCGGGTTGAAGTGCAGCTCATAGGCTGAGCAACCGACAATGGAACCAGCTGGGAAGTAGGTGTTTTTGAAAGTCCAACCTCCTGCGGGGACGGTATGAGGTAAGCGCGTAGGATTTGCCATGCTAATTCGCAGGCCTTCTTTGACGATAGCGTTGAGATAGGGTAGCGCTTGAACTTCCTGCGCATCTGGACCAAGGACAATGTTGTTGTTAACCTCATCCTTTAGTCTTTCGTACATGTCTGGGTACAACGCCAAATTGCGCATGATCGTTGCCAAGTTCATCCCCGTAGAGTCTGTTCCAGCGAAGATGAGATCTTTGCACTGTGCCTTAACTTCGGAGTCGCTGAGCCCCGCAGCGAGTAGACGCCCGGGGTATGTTGTTGACTTCTCCGAGGTATTCGCTACCAGTGTGCCGATGAACTTGTCAACAAGCATCATGCTATCTTCAGTCTCTGGATCGGGCAACCATTTGGCAACGGCCCATTCCAACCACGTGAAAGCGAAATTTGGGAGGTAGAAGAAGCGGCCGACAGCGACAAATGCGTCCACGAACGCGCTCACGCTGAGCACTGGACCGCGTTCGCTGACCCCATCGTAATTCTCCCGGAACAGGTGCGTAGAAACTGCGTCCACAGCCAGGCTTCGCGTCAAGTTGAGCACGTTGACAGGCCGCTTTGTCATGGCTTCGTCCCTCAATCGCTCCACCATACGATCGACGCATCCCCAAATTGCTCTCTCATTTTCCCTTAATGCTTTTGTTGAGAACAGCGGGACCACAGCTTTCGCTCTTGGGCTCCTGTAGTCCGTGTCGATAGTGGAGAAAATAGTCTTGTGGCCATCAATATCGAAATTTGCATAGCACGCCGCTTTCGGAAAGCCTCCTTTCGATACGTAGATTGCAGGTACAGCATCCGCGTCGCTTATATCGACTTCGTTCGGTGAGACTCGGACATACGGGCCGTATTGTCCGTGGAGTTTGTGAATCGTGCTTGCTTCGTCTCCGATGTAGGCGTGGTAGTGAAGGAAAATGCTGGTTAGCTTAGGTAATACGGGTCCAGGGATGTGGGATAGAGGATGGAAGTAGATGCGATATACTGAACGGATCAATACAAGCAGGAAAGGCGTGAAGAACAAGGCTGTTATGGGATGAGCCGATATCGCGCCAACAACGAGGCTTTGAAGCGCCATCGGAACTTCGAACAGCTGAACGGCTACATTGACGATCTGGCAGTCGTCGTGTCTTTTATGTGAGTCGTGGTTGGTTGAGTCACCGTAGCGTTAGTGGGGTGCTATCAACGGCGATCATGGAGATAAGGCGTCATCCACTCCCACTTTGGACTCTCCTTGACATTGCAGAAACTAGGACGCATTATACATTATTGCTCTAGGTAAATACATGTAGTCTAAGTTCCCCTCATTATTACTCATTTTCGTTCCCTTTGATGGTGCCGGCGCGATCAACCCGCGAAACCCGCTAACAGCAAGCACATCAAACAATGTCCCCTCTTCTTCTACCTGGCCATCTAACTCAAATCACTGGCCCTACCATCCTTGGTCGAAGGCGTCAACTCCACGTCCGCTGTATCATCAGCCATCGCACCCTTCTTCGACCTCCTCCACTGATGTACAGCAATGCAACTCAGCAGGGCCATTCCCGCATGTAAAAGGCCCAGTAACCCCTGGAATCCCACCTCAGCGTATCCAAGGCTATCCCAATACGACTTGTTGTAGGTGTTGCTCTCATCGTTGTAGATGATGAGCGTGTGTAGAAAGCAGATGGCCCCATAAAGACACACCATGACCAAAGATACAGTGAGACCAAGGATGGGATGAAACAAATTTGGTACGGAGGCTGAAGAGGGTATAGCCACGAGGCTGAAGAGGGTGTAAACGGTATCTGGGATCATTGCGAACCCTGTGCGGAAGAACCAATCATTTCTAGATACCCAGTTAGTATGCGCTTTGTTCGATTGGTGTGGCTCTTGAAACGATCGTAAGTGGGAAGACCATGTGCTGTGACTTACGCATAGCTTTGCCAACGGGGGTCGTTGTCGCGATCGTTAAATCCGTACTTGAAGGAAGCATTGTGGGATATGACGATGATGATAAAGACAAAAAGAATAAATGCCTTTACGAGAAAGACATCGTGATGGAAGCGTTGAGGTCCTTGCCAAAGTGGACTTTTAGGACGAGTGAAAGATGCTAGGACGCCCATGTTTAGAGGTACTTTGGTAACGCGTAGCTGAAGCTGTGGAAGGATCTCGGGAGTGCAATATATCAATACTAAAAAAATGAGATGCGAGGTTGAGTAGATGTCTTCTCACTATAAGTACCTCTACGTAGCAAGGCGCAAAAGAGAAAGTTGATCAACACATGGGTCGCCTTATCGTGGCGCGTACCTTCAACGCAGGTCCCGTATCTGTGCACTTGACGTCTCAGCCTGATGATCACCCCGCAATTCCTCGACTATTTCGAAGATCGACTCAAGGGGAAAATAGCTGGGTTTTGTTGGTTGGTGTCGAACACAGCCTACCATGCCAAGTTCGGGCTGTGTTGCCGGTCAAGCATAGGTAGGTACCGTACCGTAAGCGAGGCGCGCCACTAGAGGAAGATGTGTGAAGCTAGCTCGTGTACGCAATACAAAAGAATTACGCAATCATCGAAACTACTTTCGCAAGGTGAAACTGAAACGAGGGGTTATTCGTGATATTGAATGCTCGATTGGAGCAACAGCCTACGGGCCGATATGCGGCATTTCATGCAACATTCTGGCCTGAAAAACCCCATATACGTCCACTCCAACACCACGACATGGTGGTGACAGATCCAGTGATGATGTGCACCGTTGATGGCATCCAGCTTGTCTCAGAGATGAGAAGCCTAGTTTTCAAGATGAACACCTAAACATGCGTTAGCCCGGAGATCAAACTCGCAATTGCACAAATGGCTTACTATCAACATTGTTGTTGTAGATCATGTTGGTGTTGTTGTTCTTGAGGTAGCAGTTCTGGTCAAACCAAGTAACGGCAACGCATCCTGTGGTAACAGAACACACGTCCACACATTTGGTCATGGACTCGGTTGACTTGTAGGCGATGTCGCCACCATAGTAGTCCCAGTTACACTGTGCAATGAACGGCTTCTGGTTCGCAGTGGTGTACCTGCACTTGTCATCGGTAGGGCAGTCGATGACGTCGGTGCATGTCGAGGAGCCAGGCGCGGGCTCTGCGATGGTCGGGCCCTTGAGCTGATTGCCGGTGGACACGTTGGTTCTGCAGGATGAGTTGGAAAGTTGTTGGAAATAGATGAACGCCTTAGAGACAAACTTACGCTGGCCGGGCAGTACCCTTGGGGTTGCCCAGAAGGTAGCAGAAACTTCCCTTCATGTTGAATGCGACGCAATCCTTGTGTCGAGAGCAAGCATCTGCGCAGTCGACGAATACATCGGCCTTCAAAGGTGTGAATAGTATTCTAGTCTTCCTCGGGATTCTAACGTACCTGGGCGGAGTCGATGATGGGGCCGTTGTAGTCGGTCGCACAGGTGAGCTGGAATACAGCACCGTTGGTGGACGTAGATACGCAACCGTTCCAGCGAGGGCATGTAGGTATAGCGGGGCAGTTTCGCATCTGGCGCGGAACCAGTGCAGAAAGTGCAGCCGTCGAAGCGATGAGTGTATAGTGCTGTGGCATGGTCAGTATAGCTCATGGAATCGCGCATGTAGCCCCGAAATCGCTGCTTGGTTACAGATCCTGTATTGCGGCTTGTCCAGGAGTGTTGAAACTCTGATTTGAACGGAAGATATGCGGCATGGCTACAGAACTGGACAATTGTGACTTACCATCTTGAATGGTGGTGAGGGTTGGAAGGAATGAATGAGTGAGTATGAGCCGGAAGAGAAAAGGGTGGGATGAAGAGATATGGGCTACGGAGAAGCCTCAGACCGTATCTGTCTTGCGGTTGAAGCTAATAGTGATGCGGGCTTCGTGACGAAGAGTGTGGGGTATTTAGAACTGATACCATGGTCCGGTGTCGCCTACAGCAAATGACAGGTCTTCGGATGTGAGCGATAACAACGACCAGACCCTGACATGTTCTTGTGATCGTAAAAGCTTATATTCTCCAATCAACGAACCTCGTGGGCCTCCACCACACCCCAGGCACATGAGCCTAGACGCGATGTATCCTTATAATTGCAACCGTGCAGCCAGCTGCACTCATATCTTCTCCACCGGCTCTCCAAGAATCCACGTGCCGTTGCCAGATAATGTACCTGGCCTGGTATAATCCAAAGTTCTCCCATCTCTTACATAAGCCCACCGGAAGTACTCGTTGATTCCACTATCAAGTGGCCTGCGCCACTCAAAAGAAGCTCCACCTAGCCCATCATCGTAGAACGCGCGGTCCCGCTCAACATCATTTACTAAGACACTTATGCCGTCAATTCCGACCGGGTGTGCTTCATACCGAAATGTCGCGACCAGCGCCTCGGTACCAAAATTGACGGTGGCGTCCGCTATCTTGGGAACCACGGAGTTGAACTTCGCATCAGCGCGAAGTGCAGCAGAAGTCTGCAAGACAGAGTCAAAGTCCCAGCGCGCTATTCCATTGACGAAAAGACCCAACAGAATGCCTTGGTACAGTAAAGACGGTCGTGTTTGCAAACTCGTGCCCGGCAGCAACAATATCGCGAGGATGTAGTGGTGGATCCTTAGATTTACGCCTGGGATAGTCAAGCAGACAATGATTCCAAGAATGAAAAGTCCATACAAGCCGAGGTAGCGGAGCAGGCGGCCTTCGAGCCAGAAGAAATATACTTGCCCTACAATGATGACCACCAGCACCAGAACGATGATTGCCAAGGCTAGCTTTGCCCCGGGTTGTTGTTCCAGATCGTGCGAGGTAAGTCGAGATATCGGTATCCAATCAAAAGTATAATTTGAAAGTGCGCCAATCCAGAAACTGGAAAGCCAGAAAAGTGCTTTCTCAAAATGAGCAGTCATCCCAAGTAATGACCTCTTCACGGTAGTGGAGTATATGACAACGGCCACGAACATTGCCGGTAAAAGTCGCTTCGCGAACATGGACAGATGATCCGGAAGAACAGTAGTGTTTCGGGAAGACGCTGACGGTGGGTCGGAAACAAAGCTCACGTGGGCAAAAATAAGGCTGAAGATCGCAAAGAAGATCTTGGGTGACGTGGTGAAGATAGCAAGCGCAGCAGTGACGAGGAGTGAAACAGGAAGCAAGGCTGACCGAGGGTCGGAAGCGGAGTGGAAGCTATCGTCATAGCCTACGGAAAAGGCAAGCGGGAAGTACGAATCGAAAGGCAAGGATTCGATGCCGTGTCGCTTAGTACTGGCGAATTTGTCATGCTCACCAACGAGAGTAATCCGACCAGAGCCTACGAGGATGAAGATAACATGTCAGTATATGTCTTATACACAGTTCGTACGGGCAGTTCCTTACCACCTTTCCGGCCATCCACAATGCCAGCATGGATCGCGGATCCGCAGATGAAACTGTCTCCACGGTAAGATCCCGTACCGATGACAAGCGGTCGGTAGTTTACTTCGAGAGGTCCAACAATGTGCGGATTCAAGATCTGCACGTCGCCGCACTTTGCTGGACACCGGAAGGCGAATGAATGGTTGCTGAAAGGGCGGCAATTGATCCCATCGATTCCGCATTCGTTCTTTCGTTTCCAGAGCGTGTCTACGCAATCGAGGTTGATCACGCTATTGCCATCCCCATCGCGAAGCGGTAGTTGTGCCGTGAGAAACCACATGAAGATGACAAGCCACAGCAGTAGCACAGCAAAGAGCCAGATGGGTTTATTGAACCCGTGTGCTTCCGTCCATTGCGCCGGATACGCTTGGATGGCTGGGAAGACTGGCTGAATGGACTGGATGCGAGGTGGCTCTGGACCGCGCAAGAAGCGAAGGAAAGCACGTCGGCCACTACGCGCAGGCAACGCGTTGTCTTCGAAGTCCATCTCTTCTCTTGTCAACAGATGGGCTTCTTCGTCTCTGGCAGCTCCGGTAAGAGGATGGTTCGCGTCATCTTCAACGTCATTGTCGTTCGCACCGCTTTCTAACGAGACGCGCATGATCAGCTGCAGCAAGTTGTATATGCATAAGAAATGTAATCATTGACAATAGACATTGTCGTATGCGATGAAACATGTTGAATGATCAACAGCTCCATTTTCTCAAGGTGCCTTATCGATAACATATCTCACTCAGTGCTATCTGCCCAGGTGGTGTCGGGCACCCTTGTCTTTTGGAGAGAAGGTCAAATGACTTTGCAGTGTATGGTCCTATCTCGCGTCGTTACTGCTTCTGGTGACCTCATTGTATTCAGGTACTGTCACACGGCTGACCTGACATGGGAGGCACGTCGTACACCTTTGGCTAGCCTCTCAGGAACACCCACTTCATCATCACGTCTGCGGTTATTGCTTTTGTACCACAAAGATCGATTATAAGACGCCAAAGCCATAAGTTGCGTTTGCTGCCATGCTTTTACAATAGGTCTATGCCATGGGTTGAGGTATGATTCGAGGCATACCTCCGCCACGAGCACAGGCCAAGACCCTTAGATGCCGCTGGTTCTACAGAAGGCCGAACATTTGCCAAACACAACACTAGACGTGCGCACGCGTTGACGACTTGGCCCACCTTCTAAGCAACCAATTGCTCGCCATTATGGACGCGCTACAATCCTATCTTCCTCAAGCGGAAGGCTTACTGCCCAAATGGCTTCTATTTGTATGTCCTGTTCTCCGCGCTTGCGATTGTCATTTCCATGCAGTCTCTCATCGTAACACAAACTAACAATTCTTACAGGTCGCCATAGTCTCTGTTGGCAACAGCCTCCAATGCTACGCCACGCTCTCCTTCACTTCGCGCGTCTACAACCCTACAGCAATTGATCCGCCCCCTACCACGCCGAAACACGTAACCGCTCTCTCGTCGCGCACATTCGGAACATGGACTTTCTTGACGGGCATGGTTCGACTTTACGCGGCATACAACATCAACAATCCGAGCTTCTATCAATTGGCTTTGTGGACTTATGCTATAGCCTGGGGACACTTCATGAGTGAATGGTTTGTGTATGGAACTACAAGATGGGGCAAACCATTGGCTGGACCGGTGATAGTCGCAACTTCAAGTTTGATCTGGATGTGGATGCAGTGGGATTTCTACGTCAAGGCCTAGCGTGGGGGGGCTGGGGAGTATTGGGTATCGAAATGGAGGTAGTGATGTAATGTTAATGTGTACAAAGACGTGTTCATTCGGTGTCTCTTCTCACAACTTGAACCAGGGACATGTCATAGTACAGGAAGACGTGATGTTATGCAGACACTAATCGCCAGGGCTCCCAATGCAAACACATGTACCAAGATCCATCACGCTGCAGCATGAACAGCAATGGACTTTTGACCCGCCTCGGGGCTTGTTTGACCACTCGAGGACTTTCATTGATCGTAGCTGAAGAAACATACATGGCCCATGGGACTCCGATACCTCAATCCTTGATGCCGAATTTTGACGACTATATCGAAAGCCGTCACACTCCGCCTCAACCAAGTTTCTTTCCGTTGCTGATCATGAACCGTTACACCATCCTTTTTCTATGCACTTAGAACTTGTTGAACTGCTTAGCAGCCTTTCCCTTTCGGGGGAGGACACGGAGGACGTTGAAGCGGACGGTCTTGGAGAGGGGCCTGCACTGGCCAACGACGACCTGGTCACCGGGCTCGACACGGAAAGCGGGGGAGACGTGTGCGGCGAGGTTCTTGTGGCGCTTCTCGTAACGGGAGTACTTGGGGATGAAGTGAAGGTATTCACGGCGGATGATCAAGGTGCCTGTAATTCGTTAGTTCTTGCTGCCCATTTCTTTCTGATATTCCTGTTGCGGCCTGGTGTACGCGCTCCGAGAATTGGGCTAACACGTACGGTGCATCTTGGTGGACATGACAGTTCCGGTAAGGATACGGCCACGGATGGAGACCATGCCGGTGAATGGGCACTTCTTGTCGATGTAGGTACCCTCAATGGCGGTCTTGGGCGTACGGAAGCCCAGACCAACGTCCTTGTACCATCTCCTGGCGCGGGTGTTCTTGCGGGGTCCGCCGACCTTGTGGTTGAGGAAGATGTGAGGCTATCGCATCGCATTAGTATCGGACGTGCTGGGGGCTCGCGAAATGGGCGTGTAGTACCTGCTTCTGGAAAGCGCGCTCCGACTGGACACTATTTCGCAATCAGTATGTGTCGAGAGTATTCGCAGTATCGCACAACGTACGTGAGTTCGGTCGCCATGGTTGCGGGTCGGGTGGTATTGTCGAGCTTTCGGTGTTGCTCTAGGATCGCAATATTCGATCGCTTGTGTGGAGAAAGGTTCCTCCGGTGCCGAGGGCTAGCGCGACCCTAGTGGCCCAGCCTCGGCAGGGCCCAGAGCGAAGCCGCGAGATTGTCGCGAGGGCTAACGGAGTGTACGAACTTCAATGTTGCAGCCGCTTGCAACTGCTCCTTAGCTTTACCAACCCACTTTCTGGCCCCTCCCATATTTGCTCTCCATGGCAGGCATACTCGAGCCATTCGGTGTTCACATCGACGCAAGCAACTCGTTCGTGCAGGCTGCTGTCTATGGCTTCCTGCTCGTAGGCGTTGCATCTTTCGCAGCA